AGCCATTCAGCTGCTGTAACCGCAATCTAAATAAGAATGAGAAGATATTTCAGCTGTTTCTCTGGGTTTCCATTTTTCTCAGTTTCTGGCTCAGTAGCTCCCAGAACCTATTACACTAATTGTTCATTCCCAAAATCCGACTGCCAGCAGAAGGCAGGGAACCAGTCTAACATTTTCAACTGGAATTTCTACTACTTTGGTTTGTTCCTGACTGTGGTTTCCAAGAACTCGTTTGCCCTCGAAAAGTTGGACATTTTGTGCTATTTCCCAAACTTCAACTTAGTCTCCTAAAGTCTTCATCTGACAAACATGAAATTCATTATCACGAGGGATGTTTTGTGGTGGGGCAGATACAAATGTCTCCTTCGTTATATGGTTTCCAGCCTGTGATGAGATAATTAAGATGTTTATATGAAGCTAGGAGGGAATCAGTACGAGGTCAAGCCAACTGTGTGAACTCTTCAGTGCAAAACCACCTTCTCAGGTTTCCACAGGCATGTCTCTTTCACAGATATGCTTAATACCTGGCCAGAATATTCCTTCTCCAGCCAAAATGCATCTTCTAAATGCAGTGCACATTGTCAAAGGGAATGCTTGGGCTCTGTTCAAGACAGTTGTTTGTCAATGTTTTCCCAGTGTTCTCCTAATTGGAAGGGCCTATCTCAGCAGCACTTTAACCACTTGGTTGTGTCCAGGACACCAAACATGTTCCATGTGGTAGAAGCAATAAACGAGGGTAATGACATCTTTATATTATGGGCCCTGAATTATCGGAGAGTTACCGAATAAAGTTAAATCGGTGTTATCTACACTGTGCATCACCCACTGGCAGTCTAGGCTTGCAGGCAATAGAATAAATCAGGTGATTAAAATTAGGCACATATTTAAGGTCTCTGTTAAAATACAGCCTAAATGCTACTGCAGATTGAGGAGGGACTTAAATTTTCTCTACTAGAGAGAAATGGGAGTGGGACATGGGAACCTCTTCTTGCGTTTAACCCAGTCAAGACCAAACTAAACCCAAGTGAAGCCCTTCTCCACCTTCTCCACTATGTTGTTCCTATTTCCCTTCACATTTCTCTTTTCTCCAGTCTAAGAGCTTTGATAAAATGGAACAAATAAAAACCCACTTTAATTGTTTGCAGCACTGGGGAGCTTTTCTTGACGTGTCCCAGAGCTTCTGCTGTGAGGGAGCCAGGCGCTGGCAGCTGGTTCCACTTTAGAGCCATGTATGAGGCTCGCAGCTCATGCAGTTATTGTACATTTACAAACCCCTATCACGCTGGAGCTCTGTCTCTGCACCCGCCTTCACACCAGTCTGGTTTTGCTCCTGCTCTGTTGAGTTCTGGTTTGGTTTTCTTTCTTCTCCCCCTTTTTTCCCCCTTTTGTTGTTTGCAGAAGGAGTAAACATCTTTTCACAAGCAGGAATAAGGCTGTGGACACTTCTGGCTGCTGCTCTCCCTTTGCTACCGCTCCTTCATGTGTATAAGTTTAGCAGGGGGTCCAGGAGCTAAAATGGGAAGCACATGGTTTTGTGACTTTACAATTGAAATAAAGAAATCTAATATGACAGAAGCATGTCATATTAGAAGCAGCGTGTTGTTTATGGAACTACAGATTTCAGTGAAGGACATCCCTACCAAATCATAATTAAAACTACCATAATGACCTCCAAATTTCGTTTGTTGGGCTGAGAGGAAGGAAAATACAGATATTTTCAGCGGGTTCTGCTGAAACAATTTATGGAGACCCACAGCTGGTTTTAATGCGCTGATGAGCTGGGAAAACAGTCAAAATTGTACTCCAGTCAAGTGACTGTATAATATCTGAGGGCAGAAAGAGACCAAAATCTCTGTCATTTTATTTAATCTAATGAATAGTGTTTTGTAACTGAAAAACATAATTGCTCTGCATGTATGTTACGTGCACACTTCGGTCGTAAAATCCACAGTGCCACCAGTGGAACCAGTGAAAACACTTTTAATGTGATTTCTTTAACTCTCTTAATTTTTCTTAAAGGCCTTTTTGGAATCAACCGAATGTTTGGCGTGAAAATCTTCTGCAGCGTTTATGCTACAGGGAAGAAATCTGTGCTCCTTAAAATAAAAAGAACGGGTTTTTTTTTTTTTGCAAGAAAAGACATTTCAACAGAATAATTTTCTACCTTTTTGAAATGGATTTGAGGTTTTTTCACTGGAGTTGCCTTTGAAGTCAAAGACACAAAAACAATCAACTTTAAAATTAGCACATAAAATTAATGATTGCTGGAGTTGGCAGGCGGACTGGAAAACCAGGACTCTTCTGGCATTTGCATTTGGAAAAGCTTCAAAGCTACTGCCTGTGTTTGACATTAGAAGGGAGGACTGAAGAGTGAGTGAGAAAAGAGGAAAATGCCTCTGAAATATCAGGTGCAGGGCTGTGTTTGCAGACTCAGTCCTAGGGACATCACTTAGAGCAAATCTTCTTGCTAACCTTTGTGCATGAGAGATGGCTGGTTGTCCATTTGATGGGGTTTGGGTTTTGGAGGTTTTTTGAGGGTTTGGTTCATTTGTTGGGGTTGATTTTGGGGTTTTTTATTTGCTGTTGGTTTGGTTTTATCCTTAGCATTTATAGGTGAAAATAAGCAAGGGTTTGGTTTGGGGGGAGCAATGGAAGGAGCCGCTAATACGATCATTCGTAACAAATCAGTAGCTGTCCCTATATAGGAATGTATGTGTATATATGAATACATATATATAGGAATGAGCAGGTTGTGTTAAGAAGACACTGTTGGATTTAGCTAAACTTACGAATCTGAAAGCTGTTCCTTCTCTGGAGAGGCTCATATTTGATCACCTACCCTAAGAGCAGAACTAGCAGCCCAAGTATATTTGTTGTTTTCCCAGCAAAATGAAGCATAATCTTTCTGGGGAGCACAGGACTCAGAACTACCTGCTTTATGCCTTCATTAGTGGAAAATTAAGTTTTCCCTCTCCTCTGAGAAGCCAGCCGGGTGTGGGGTTGCTGATGGAAGACAGCTGCAAACAAATGTGTTGAGTGAATTAATGTACTGTGTGGCGGTGGAAAAAGAGGCCAGCTCTGCAGGAAGGATTTGGTTATCACATGGAGTGAGCAAGACTGAGAGAAGGACAGTCTGCAAGTTCAGCTACAAACTGTGTTAGTATTTGAAAGAGGACGAAAGGGTGTCATGAGAGAGAGTTAAAAAGAAACTATGCATTCGAGGAGCAAGAAATGGCAAAAACTGAGTTGCTATAAGTTAGATTCTTGTTTTCTCGAGTGGATTTGGCTTCAAAAGTAATTAGCTTCTTGTCACATGCTCGGGCAGTCATGCCAAGCAGTTCAACAACACATTATTTTTGTCATTGCACAAAAGGTGATATTGAGCCCAGAATAACTGTTTCCATTTATGACTTTGGCTTTTGGCCTAAGCTCAAAGGAAGTGAGAAAAAAAAGAAGAATGATATCCTTTTCTGAAGGTCTTGGGGCACTTGAGTTTCAGATGTTAGTGTACAGGAAAGTTTACCAGGGTCTCAGTGTCCATAAGAAAGCCGGCTCCCCAGTAGCTTTATTTGGGTTGTTCTGCTGTTCACTGGTGAGAAAACCCAGTGGAGAAACCATGTGGGATCAGGAACTGAGGCTGCAGTGATTCCTTAACCCTCCATCTACCAAAGCCTGTTCTAAGGTGTCAGCAACTTCAGGAGGAAGAGGAAGGCTCAATAGCCAAGACTTTGTGCATGATACAAGCCCTCCAGCACTAAGAGCTATTCTAGTCCCCATTGAGCCACTGTCTCAGGAATGTTCCTTTAACACCCCAGGGAAACATTTTGGTCCCTTGATGTGTTGGCACGATACACCGAGAAGGGTGACAGAGTTCCTTCCTGCTAAAAGAAATGATTGTTTAGCCTGAATATTGATTAAGCCAACAAATCATGCTGTAATAACCAAAGAGGTACCCGCAGGGGTAGACACTAGGTGAAAGAGGGCTTTTGCTTGCAGGGAAACGGATAGCACACCAAGGGTGGATATATATGTGGAAATGGATTTAATAAACACCTGAGTCTCCCTCCTACTTCCCTGCCTGTAAATACCCACCGTGGTATTTTAATCTTGATGGTTTTAATAATACAAGAAAATCTTATTAATAATTACATTTGGGAATGTTTCTGCTTAGCCAACTCCAGGGCATCGGTTTAACTTGACACAACCAGTGTTTGCTTTAAATTGTGTGGACCATGCCAGTCCAGGGGGGTGATTCATTTGCTGGCTAATTAACAAATGGCTAATGTAAATGTAACATTCACTTCGACTTACATTCCTGCAACCCAGACTTCTTTTTGATTAGGCTAGCTGCAAGTGGAAGCCAAATATTTTCCTTGCTGGAGCCAAGGGGATGGCATATGCTACTCGTTTAGGTTTCCATTTCCTTTGCATCTTTTCAGGGGCTGGAAGTCAGGCATTAACATTTCCGAATACAGTCATTTCTGTATGAAAGTTTGCAAATAACCCCCCCCCACCCCAGATTTTCTAATACAACTGAAAACTAAATCCCAAGTTCTTTTCATTTGCAAGAAGAGTGTGCTCTATAGGGTTCCCCCATTCCTTCTCCTCGTATTTCCTGGTAAATAAATACATACCCAATATGGTTTTAAGAGGCTTTTATATCTCTCCTGTGCTGAGCATCCCTCAGCTGACTGGTGAGCACAGGTTTGAATAGGGGGCGTCTGGAGGTGGCCAGCGCAGCCACATGCACAGCCCATGCGAGGCCACATGTGGGAGTAGTGCACCTCTGCTATAGACTACAATCCAGTTCTCTAATATCTCTTCCATATTGAATCATAGAATGGTTTGGGTTGGAAAGGACCTTAAGATCATCCAGTTCCAACCCCCTGCCATGGACAGGGATGCCTCACACTAGACCGTGTTGCCCAAGGTTCTGTCCAACCTGGCCTTGAACACTTCCAGGGATGGGGCATTCACCACTTGGGCAGCCTGTTCCAGTGCCTCAGCACCCTCATAATAAAGAACTTCTTCCTTAAATCTAACCTGATTTTCCCCTGTTTCAGTTTAAACCCATTCCCCCATGTCCTATCAATATCTCATGTCCTTGTCCTATATCATTAGGTTGGATTCCCAGGACTGAACGAGATGGTTCCTGGCCTGGAGACCCACCCCATATGTTGCCGCAAGAGCTTCTTTGGTTTTAATGCTGGGAAAGCTCATGGTAAGAATCTATCATTTCAATTAAGTGAAGGCTTGTGATTTTATGGAACATGTTAGCATTAATGGCCTACTCCAACTGGCTAGCTCCTTTAGTTGCCTTTGTGGGGAAATATCTTCTTAAAGAGATGGATTTTGGAAAGCCTGTCCCAGGAAGCGTGAGACAAAGAGCTCAGGTCTCTCAGTGATAATTCCGCCACTTCTGCTTTGCGAGTTTGGAAAGGTGACATAGAGCCTTTTCCTCAGTTTCCAGCTCAGCAAGGCGGAGCAAAGACTGCTGAAACCCATCAGGGGCTGCTGTGAAGTACAATGAAGTCACGTTCCTAAAGAGCTGGGAAATCATCTGATGAAAGCCATATGCTGATATTGGGCTCATCTAACACCGGTTTGATTTGGGGATTATTTGGAAATGACCCAACAGAGAGAAAGGGCTTGTGATGTCTCCTGAGAAATGCCTGCACAGGATCAAGCATCAGCCTGTTTCTCCCAGAGAGAGATCCAGGCACATCCAAGGAGATTTATGTTAGAAATTGCACTGTAGGCTATCACTAGCATCATTCCGATGCGATTTCCAGCACCTCCTCGCTACAGCTCTGTTTCAATGAGATGCAGAGGTACTCAGGGGTTTTTCCACCCTATTTTGATGCCTTCTGGTGATGTAAATGCACTTTTCACTTGGTTTTGTTGAAGGTTTGGGCCAGGACTGTGGGTTGAGCTTGGGAAATCCAGCTCTGGCTCTGAATTATGCCACTCTGTTCTGTTGTTGAAATTCCCTGGAGGAAGGGCATGAAACGTTCATGGGGCTTGCTCTCATGAGGGATACAGATCCATGAAACACCACCTTGTTTTGGCAGCTGGCAAGGGGAGCTGTGCTCTACCTGTGTGTATTTATTTTGCTGCTCTATGGACTGCATGAATACATAAAGTATCATTGCCCCTGTTTCATGTGCATCCACCTTAGTGAGGCTGGAGCTGAGCAAACACAAGCATCATACATCATTAGTGCTGACTGGTGTCTTCTTGACTCCCCTGTGTTCCCTTATGGCACAGGGAAACCTATATAAGGAAAATTGGCTGGCTCTTGAAAAGCATAAATGAGAGGAACTGGCTGCAGGGAAAGGTTTCTGAGTCCCGTTAGGGTTCGAGAAGGAGTTCAAACACTTCGTTCTTCAGCTGCTGGAGATAAAAGTCCTGGTACATTCAATTCCCACTTTCTGCTGCTGCCAATAAGCAGGGGGGCTTCTTCCTCAGCCTCTTACCACTGCAGAAATAACAAGAGATAAAGCAAGCAAAATAAATAAATGCTTTGTGGCTAGAATAGATAATAATTTCACCAGCTGAATATTAAAATATCAAAGCTGAAGGAAAGGATATGTAATTATGGGTCTTTGAAGTTCAATAAAGGTCTGTTTCATCAGCATGGTGGCTAGTATTTGAAATGCAAAGACAGAATGATAATACTGCGCTGGCATTTCTGACCCACAGAGGATACGTTAGGAGAAGAAGGAAGTCCTTTAAGACAGAAGCCATTTAGGCTGTGGCTGATTAATTATAGAATCATAGAATCCCAGGCTGGTTTGGGTTGGAAGGGACCTTAAAGCTCATCCAGTTCCAACCCCTGCCACAGGCAGGGACACCTTCTACTAGAGCAGCTTGCTCCAAGCCCCTGTGTCCAACCTGTCCTTGAACACTGCCAGGGATAGGGCAGCCACAGCTTCTCTGAGCAACTTGTGCCAATGCCCCAACAGCCCAAAATGATCTGTCTCTGGCAGGAAAATGTTGCTCAGCATCATTCATCTCCAATTTACTCGTGCTGTATTTCTGGGGTGTTTTTAAAGAAGGATGGTTTGGCCAGGTACAGGGGGCACACTTGGAAATGGACCTTCCTGTGCTTAGTTACGCTGGCGTTATCCCCAGATAAAAAAGGAGATCCAGTAAACTGTGGCTGAACTTGGTTTGCTTGGTCCCTATTCCTAAACCAGGGCCAGTGTTAAAAACCTTAGCAACATTTCTAGAATGGTGAATGTTTTTAACTCCACTCTATAGCAGGTAACGAAAAGTCATCCTTGGGACATCTTACACAGGACATAATGACCTGAAAAAGATAACAGCAAGGGATGCATGTTGATGTTATTTTATGTTATTTTATGTTATTTCATGATTTTATTTTATTTCTGGTGACATTGTTAAAGAAAGATGTTTCCTTGTGATCACAATGAAATAAAAGATGTCCTTCACTAAGGCTATGCTAGGCTGCAAGAAAAGCTGTTAAAGCCAACTGAAGCTTTATGAGTACCAGCAGTGTTTATACCATGCAGTTCTTGTACTTAAGAAGAGTTTACTACATTAAGTTCACTATATTTTTTAATACACTACCATCACGTTTGGGTACGTTTTCTGTTTCACATTAACATCCAGCCTGGTTTTGTGGTTGAGGAAAGATAAGCAAGAGCCCCCAGCTACATGCCGGTGGAAGAGGAGCTTTTATTGGAGGGTAGGGATGCTGAATGACCCCACGGCTTCCTGTTAGTGTTTTAATAGCAGGACTTTCCCACCTGGTCTTGGCTGGAAAGTCAAACTTGGATGCTTGTGTGGAGACCTAGTAAAAGTGTGAGAAGAGTATACCATATCCGATTTCCTAGGTAAAGCATGTTATATGCCTTTTGGTTCAAAGTAGGAATTAGCCTGTGGGGAAAATACGGTCTTTTTCAGCATGCTTTGTATGCATGGGAGGTCTTGACCAGGGTGTTTCAAACATCATGGTGCAATATAAAAGAAATCAGAGTTTCCAAATGAGGCAGCTCATTTTGGTGTTCAACGCGCATGTGCAGTGGCTGTGCAGTACATGGAAGGGTTATGTGGTGATTAGAAGAGGCCAGTTAAGGAGTCATCTTGGTTGACTCCTCTTTGCTTGACTACTTAGAGCAAGAGAGCTTTACAGCACATCCCATCTGAGCCCAACTTGAACACCAGTGCAGGGGGGTGAAAGTGTTCCCTTAGGATGCGGCAGCCAAACTGCTCAGCATCAGTGAGGCTTGGAGGAGCTGGAGGTTGAGGGCAGCCAAGTGGTTTACAGTGGTGAAACATAATCCTTCAGATTAGTTCCACTTTTCATTTAGCCTAGTTTCATATCAGTGCCCTGGGGGCAGGGGGGGGAGTGTTGTCTCAGCACAAAGGGAGAGCTTTGGAGAAAGGCACAAATGGGTTTCTCCCAGTGCAGTGTCCATGGGGACATGTCCCTTGTTTGTTGCTGGTCCGGGTGTGTTTGTATTGCACAGTGTGGATATCCTTTCTGTCCTGCAGGTTTGAAAACTGGTGTCTGTTGTTACTCTGTGCAGTGCAGGTCCTGGATGTGACTGAGCCTTTGGGTGCCACGCTAAAGGAGTTGTGACAACTTTTGCCTTGACTCCAGTGAACATTGCTGTTGATGTTCGATGCCGGCATACTCTGGTGATCAAAACCATCAGCTGTTCGAGACTGGGAAACTCTGCTGCTCCTAATGCAGCAGGGCTCTGCTCCTTACTGGCATTTCTCACCTTGGTAAAGTAATTGGCTTCTGAAGAATTCACAGGATCTAAAAGGGCTCTGCAAAGCCCTTCCTGCCACCTAAATTCAGTGATGGTTTGAAGGTTATGAATAACTTGGTTTATGTCAGAGCGAACTTCCCAGGGTTCAGAAAAAGGTTAAACTTCAGATTGGGTTTCTTTTGCAGGTTGGGATTTCTGCCCGCAGGAGAGTTGGGAGTATGTGAATGAGCCTTAGTCCTTGCTTGGGTGCTCCTGTGCTGCATGGCTGAGGGGTTTTTCTTGTCATTCTCTTGGGATATGTTGCTCTGGTCCCTTCCTGCTTTCTGATGTTGCTGGATTCGGAGTCCTCTGGAGTGCCCTTTGGAGTTGGCCAGATGGGTCTGAGAAATGGGTTTACCCCAGTTTTGAGGCTGGCACGGGCTGACCCTGGCAGCCTCCTCTCTGAGCATCCCTCTGCACAAGCCATGTCTGTCCATCAGGGATGCAACACGCAGGGGGATGCAGGTCCCCCTGGGAGAGCCCCTTGATCGCTGAGCTTGTCAGCTCTGACCATCCTCTCGGGGATTAAATAGAAGACAAAGAAGACATTCAGGAAGTACCACAAATCAAAACCAAATGAAATCTAAATGAAACCATAATATATAAGAGAAACAGCAAACAAGGATTTCCTCTCTTCGAAGGTAAAGCTGGCAATTTAAATTAAACCAGGCAAAATCAGTGTGTGATACACAGTTCAATGGAGAGTCAGAGCGCCCTGGTTCTGCTCGAAAGGCAGATTCAGCCCTGTAGGCTTTCTTCTGTGTGTAGACCTGTTTTTGTCAGTCAGCTGCTTTTACTAAACCACTTTAATGACGTCTTGGTCAATGTCAGAGTTGAGATCTGTTTTATAGGGATGTATTTGTGGCAGAGCTTCCAAATACCTGCCTCTGAATTTGTCAGTTATAACTACATTCTCAGCAGACGTTGGAAGCCATAAACCTCATGCTGAGGCCTTTCAATATCACTTAAGTGCTTGAGCCATGTTCTTGGAATGGGTTTATGAGGAAAACTCGGCACAGGGAACCGGATCTCTATTTTGTTTCAGCTGGTGATAATGAATGCCCATGGATAGAAATGGCAAAGCCATTCTAAACAAGCACTTTTCCAAACAGAACAGCACTTACCTTGCAGGAAAACAGCAGAAAACCGAATGCTGTCTCAAGCTAAGCTCAACCTGATGGAGTGAGAGGCGGGGTGGGTTGGTCAGAGCGATGGGGGAAGCACTTTCTGCGTGTTAAAGCAGCTCATTAAAATCAAACTAATTGCTGGGCCCTCAAATCTAATAGCTGGTTGTCCTTCCTTCAGCTGGCTCTGTTCCCTTTCTGACACCACAGCCGAGAGCAAGCATACAACTCTGATTTAGAAACGTCAACGTGGTTTAGGTTAGGGAGTGTTTATAATAATTATGAATTGCCTTTATGGTTTGTTTGCTTTCCATAGCAATTGAGAGAAGACAGCAGCTGACAGCTGTGGAAATTCCTTGTGTTGTTCCCCTACTACAGACCAAGATGGATTTAATTAGTGCGGACCAGCAGCACCGCATTATTACATTAATAAGAATTAGAAAGCTATTTGCACCTGTGCTAATGTAACGCTATTTACCCCAAAGTGTGCTAAAGCATAAGTGCTTCAGGTCTCTAATGACACTGGCTTTACAAAGGGGAAGACTGCAAAGCTACCAGGTAAAGGGGAAATTCCTCCCCATGCAAAGCCATAGGGGTTGCCTAACGCATGCAGGCTGTTGGGGCAGAGGCACCATGTATATGTATATATGCGTATGCATGTACTTACAAGAAATACCCAAGATCACTATATTCAATCATTTCTATTTACAAAAAGGTGCATGGGGAGGGAAGCAGAGTTGCTGAAAAGAAAAGCAGAGGCTGTCAGGGCTATTAACAGGTTCTGTTTGTGCTGGGCAAAGCAAACAGTGGTTTTTAACAGATCAGCCAAGAGGTCTGCTGTCAAAAAATCCTTTACAAACCTTCTAGGATCCCTTCTGCCCCTAAGCAATAGCGGAATAGAGCTGTTTGCTGAGCTGATACGCTCTGTTAGGTTTGGCTGTTGTAGAGTGAGTGTAGTTGATATTATTTGAGGAAGTAGATAGACCATAAGGAAACGTGTTGGAGTCTAAACTGTACCGCATCCCCACAAAATATTTGCTGTGGTTGAACTTGTGCCGCTAGAAACTTGACTCTTTCACTTAATTTCTATTTATTTTTGGCATTGTTGGTGGTAGGAGGTGGCAACGTCCCTCCTTGAAGCTTGTGTACCCTTCTTGGAAACACAAAGGAAATAAACTTCTCCCAGGGTGACAGCATTTATTGTTATTACTCCTAGTTATTTGTTTTTATTTTAGTGGGGTAGAGGAGGCCAATCAGGGTCAAACCGTGTGAGGCATCATATAGGAAGGGATGGCCCCCGCCTCAGCAACAATTGCAGTTCAGTGAACGCCTGGCTTCAGTGAAGTGCTTAAGCAGGGATTTAATTGTAACCACATGCACGAATCCCTTTGTTGCTGCATCGTATCGGAAGCTGTGCTACAAGACAACAATTAGGAATACTGAACAGTCATCTGGACCGTGCATAGAGAGGAGAGCAAAGTGCTGAGAGGACACACATTCACACAGGCCAAATAGATAAAAGGTGGTGGCCTTTTCCTTGTCGCTCTGCATGGATCCCTGCTTTGTCTGCGAGGAGGCAGGAGGTCGCTAGATCAAAAGTAGCCCATGTAATCTCATTAGCCCTCTTGCTCAACCCATAAGCATCTTTACTATCCCATTGTAGTCAAAGGAAGCTGACATGCAGATGTAGGTGGCAGTGTGATCGGGACTGCAGGCTGTGAAAGCACCTTGGCCATGTGTAAGTGTTGGCATAGTGGAGTTGTCACTCTTAACCCCCCGAATGCATGAGGTTGGGTGCCTCATGCTGAAGCCACATGTGATTCTCCAGCAGAAGTGCAATTATTCCGTAGGTCAGCATCACCAGCGATCTTTGACCTGGTGAGTTTGTGACAGTGTCAGCAAGTTGCTGGTACTTCCTTGTCCACCAGCTTCAACTATATTTTGTTAAAAGGGACAACTTGCATAACTGAACCTCTTCCTCCTCTTCCATTTAAACTGAAAGAGGAGAGATTGAGATGAGCTCTTAGGCAGAAGCTCTTCCCTGTGAGGGTGCTGAGGCACTGGCAGAGGGTGCCCAGAGAAGCTGTGGCTGCCCCATCCCTGGCAGTGTTCAGTGAACACAGGGGCTTGGAGCAAGCTGCTCTAGTGGAAGGTGTCCCTGCCTGTGGCAGGGGTTGGATCTGGATGAGCTTTAAGGTCCCTTCCAACCCAAACCATTCTGTGATTCTATGATCCACTTCTGGAGGTGGTGAACAGCAGAGTAGCCATCTGGCATTTTCGTGCATCAAACTGAACTAGAACACATTGCTAACATCTTCCACTTGTGGATCTGAGTTCTGCAACTGTCTGCATTCGCTTGTGATGTAACGTTTTGCTGGGAGAAAGTTATTCCAATCCTGTGTGTTTTGTAACAGATATTGCTGTGCTCATAAATCACTGCGGATGACTGCCTGCTCACGTTAAATGGAATTGCTATTACTGCACACACTGAATGCAGTAGTACCTGATCGGTGCTTAAGGTTGGCTGAAGCCTCTGTGAACATCTGCCCATCATTAAGTGAAGGCTTTTGAATCCCTTTTTCCTGCCTTTCTCATTGTATGAAGACCGGAGGAAATGGTGATTTTTGCAGCAGCTCTTTGTCCTTTGTGAACCCTCTTTGAATGAACTCACATGCTTTACTACATGCGCAATAAAACATCAACACGGTGCCATCAAAGGAACAAACTCTGCCCACAGATGAGGGAGTGGGCAAGAAACTATGAGCTCTGCACATGTATCTGATAGGCTTATGTGTCTCATCTGCGAGACATTGAACTTGGAGGTAGAATCTAGAGGCTCAGTGCTGAGGATCTGTCCTGCAGTATTTGTGGCTGTTGTTTAACTTTAATCTCAGCCGTTCGTTTGCTTCCTGGTTCTCATATAATTAGAACATATTAAACAGGAGCCAACCACAAGAAATAGAAAAGGTTAACGCAGTTAGGAAATGTCAGTGGAATGAATACAGCTCACTAATTCACGGGTTCTTTCCATAAATATTTCCACCAGCCAAAATATTGACTTTAACCTTTTCCATCTCCTGCATGTAAAGCTTTGTATTCCCTTGTTGCAGTAACAAATACCTCAGAGTGTGCGGATGGCGCTCAGCACAGGGCACGCCGTTCCAGTGTGCAGTTATGGTATCAATTAAGTGGCAGACTCAGATTTCACCATGGTAAGGCACACCCAGAGATGGAAAGCTCATACACAACAGCAAAAAAAAAGCAATGAGTTACAGTGGGGATCACAGAAATTGTTTAGGACAACAGTTTGGAGCTGGGCCAGCAAACATCTAACCCCAAAATGTTTTGCTGTGAGTAGCACAAGTATTTGGCTGTTTGGACTGGGAGATGTCCTGGGTCACTGTCCTGAGCTGCTCGAAGAGTCCACATCTTGGATCTTTTATATATAAATTGGTCAAGAACCATCTTAAAAGCTGTTTCTATCCTCTCAACCCCAATTCCTATAGTGGAAGGTGGTTCCATCAACCTCCTGGCTCTCATGATCCGAAATCTTTGGTTTTGGTGCCTGCTGCCAGCTCAGGGTTCCTGAGCACCCTGGCTGGGCTGGTCTCCCCGTGTTGTAATGGGTGACAAGCATGATTTACTACTGACCTCCTGTGATCTGAGCTTCATTAAGGAATTAGCATCCCCTACCTGTAGCTGCTTCATGGTGAAGTTTCTCTTCTATCCAGGCTTGCTCAGGATGCTAAATGAAAGGAATCGCACTACTGTTTTCCTTGAATCCCTACCAAACTCCTGCCTGTTTGAGCATTAGAGATAAATCTTTCAGTGGGTCTGTAGTACTAAACCCTAGCAGCTGTACTCAGGGTTAACTGTTCCCTGGGCTTTTCATGTGTGCGTAGGGCACGGCTGCCTGTGCAAAACATGTTATTCCCTTAATCTGCTTCCCTGTGTGCTACCTGGGGTTTCAGCTGATAAGTGTCCTGGGTGTTTTCCTCTGGACTATCTCATAAAACCAGCATGTGCTATTTTAAAGCAGTGGGCTGCATCTCAGGAATGAAATCTGTCCTTCATACCACTGAGGGTTGGAATGCAATATCTCCATACAGTATTCTCTGATAGTTTTTTGTATCTAACAGCCTGATGGGATGCCTGCCCATCCTGAAAGCAGGTACTGGCTGTGTTTGTGTCAGAAGATACAAACAATAAATCACAAACAATAAATCTTCATTAGGGACTGTAGTGATAGGACAAGGGATAACGGGTTAAAACTTAAACAGGGGAAGTTTAGGTTGGATATAAGGAAGAAGTTCTTTACTGTAAGGGTGCTGAGGCACTGGAATGGGTTGCCCAGGGAGGTTGTGAATGCTCCATCCCTGGCAGTGTTCAAGGCCAGGCTGGACGAAGCCTTGGGTGAGATGGTTTAGTGTGAGGTGTCCCTGCCCACGGCAGAGGGGCTGGAACTGGATGATCTGAAGGTCCTTTCCAACCCAAACTATTCTTTGATTCTATAGAATCGCAGAATGGTTTGGGTTGGAAGGGACCTTAAAGGAGGTGGGTAGTGCCTGGAAGGATGCTGAGTATGTACCTCTGCCACCCTGCTTACACCAGAGGCAGTATTTCATGCTGGGGTAGGAGCCTGCAATAGATAACTAGCTTTGAGATGTAAGATAGGTATCTCTATGTCTTTAACTCAAATACAATACCAGGTTATTGTGGCTTTGTGTGTGCTGCTAAGTCACTTGGAGCTGGCTGGGGGACCTGTGCAGTGTGCTACTAGGCTGTGTAGATTTGGAGCTCCTACCCACCGCTTCTACTTTTTCACCAGTGTTAGATGGGATTAATGTTCTGGGAATTTTATCCTGTAGTTTGGCTTTATAAAGTAAATGAGATTAAATATTGCTTAAAGCTAAGCCTTTGCCTAAGCACTGCCCTGAATGCAGAGAACCGAGGAGGACTCACTCTGTGGTGCTCTCACTGCTGATCTTTTGTCTTGTTGACCAAGCACTGGTATTTATGTTATGTTTCCTGAGCAGGCACACTGATTGGAGCAGGGTGTATAACTGGAGAATACAAAGTGAAGGAAACCAAAATGAAATGCATCACTTGGGAATCACTGTGCAGGGAGCAGCGGGCACAAGGGCTTGGAAAGGGGTTTCCATCAAACCGGCGCATCCGCACGGTGACAAAGGATTAAGGCTGGATCTACAAGTGAAATCTAAGCTGTACCAACACTGCTGAGAGGCAGCACTCCTGTAATAATGCTGATCTTAGGCATTGCTAGGAAAGAGAGAGAAAGAAAATGCTGCCTTTTGACCCAGCTACAATGGCTCTAAACAGAGCTAATGTATGCAGCAGTGGTGTCATGCTGCAGTGCAGTCAGCACCTTGCTTTTAGTCTCACTGCAGTTTATGCTGCTGATGCACTGAATTCAGCATTTATTTAATATAAAGAGTGCCTAGTTTCCTGTAGCTGTATAAATCTGGGTTCAATATACATGTGGGTGTATACAGACTTACTGTATCTTTAACAGCAGTTCACAACACTTGTGTAATAATGGGCTCATGACAGAAATCAAGATCTGCCTTTGAATGAATATATCTTTTATAAAAGGCACCACAGTGAAGCAGCCCAATGAGACATGCAGTTGGTTTTTCATAAGGTTTTATAGTGCTTTCATCCTCCTGGGATGTGTGTGCTTCCCATTAGTGCATTCCCCACCACCCCTGCCATCTGTCACAAGTGATTTGCTCTTTCTCGTCTTATCTCCCCCAGAGGAGAACTGTTTCTGGACAGGATTTTTTGCTTGGGTTTCTAATTTTCCCTGCAAGTTTTTCCTTCCCTGCTCACTGCTTGTGCTGGGGAAAACAGGGCTAAGGGTTCATCCCTTGCTCTAGCTTTGGGAGTAGGTGGCATCTGTGCTCTGATGAGATGCGGGGTGGCATTGGCACCTGGGGCTTTTTGCACATAACAGAAGCATTCCCAGATCTTGCCAGGACCTTTTAAAGCTTCTGATTCCTGCTGTTCTTTACCAGTTTAATGGGTTGGAGGCAATCAAGGCATCTTAGTGGAAATCATAGAATCACAGAACGGTTTGGGTTGGAAAGGACCTTAAGATCATCCAGTTCCAACCCCCTGCCATGGGCAGGGAAGCCTCACACTAGACCATGTCACCCAAGACTCTGTCCAATCTGGCCATGGATGGCCAGGGATGGAGCATCATCTTTCCCCTGCCCCATATCTTGGATCATAGCTTGAAAGGATTGCTGCTGAGGGAGCTCTGGCTTCCCAGCCTCAAACCCTTTGAGAAATAGCAGCAGTGAGGTTTTGAGTCTGAGGCAGTGCTCTCTTTTGATATAATCATCTTCCCAGTATTGCTTGGCAGCACTGTTGCTGAAACCCTCACCTGTCCTCTTGTAGGTGCCAGTAGCAGAACTCCAGTCAACCCTTACAAATTATCCATATGGAAGATTTTATTCCTGTGATGGCTTTTCCATTAACAAGAGCCAGTTCAGGCCTGGGGATGAGGGTAGGCACATGGAAAGTTACCTGGGCGTTAAACCTGCATCTGCTTCGAGTTTCATTACCACATCTATTCACTGTCACATTCACTAAGAATATACTTTCTTTTTCCTCCAGATCTTCCTGTGAAGTCGTTTCCACAAGGGCTGAGTCACTGTGGGGAGTCTTGTAGCACATAACCACCTGGGGGATTACTTCCTTGGTGGAATAGCTAGAAAATCAAGTATGGCTGGCCACTGGGAAGAAGAAGAAGAAATTCCTGCCTGTATCCAAAACCATGGAGAGGTAAGGCATGGCTGATGGCCAGATGCAGCAGATGAGCCAGGAAGGCCAGGTGGTTTGTTTCTATGACCACCACCCGTGTGGTGCAATGCACCACTCAAGGCTTTGTCATCATCTGCTCCTTCGAACGAGTTTTCTTCTGAGCCAGCTTAGGCTTTAGCTCTGAGCTAAATCATGTCAGAAAGGTGTTTCTTATTGTGCTAATTATCATCAAGAAGCGGGGATTAGCTGCCTTTCTTGTATTGCATGGGGATAATTTGGCATTGGCATGACTTCTGAGTCTTTCTGATTGAAGTGTTTGAAAAGCTGAGGTCATGGCAGGGCTCCCTGCAAACATCCCCTTCAGCAGCACTTGCTGGGCTACATTTCCAAGGCATCTCAGAGCTTTTTTAACTTTTCTCAGGCAAAAAATGGGGGGAAAAAAGAAAAGGGAAAAGGCCCCAGCTGAGCTTGGAAACCTTCATTCTTGGTTGAGAGCAGGTTATTTACTGTTGTTCTTGGTTCAGGAGCACTTCCAAGGCTGTGAGTTTGGCTGTGTTCATCATGGCTCCTCGGCACCATGAAGGCTCCTGCTACACCAGAGGGGACAGAGCCTCCCAGTCCCAATTCTCCTGTGTTGGAGGGGTGGTTTAATCATCTGTGCTACCTGGGGAATCAACCAGGTAGATGATCTTAGTACTCAAGCAATCAAATCTTCCTCCATGTGCTCGGAAGAACTGATGTGTCTGCTACCTCTGGAGGCAATTAGTCAAAGAGTAGTAAGAGTGGGCTGCAAAGCATCTCCTTGTTGCTGCAATGGTTAACTGAGAGGCTAAATCAAGACTAAAGATGTTGAAGTGCATGTTGAGGGATGTAAGCCCTATTTCTAGCTGAGCTGCCAACATGGGGAAGGTTGCTTTGATGTGTGAAGTAGGAAAAAACTCCTTATATAGATATTTTAGATTCGATGTGGGTGGGAAATCTGGGAAATCTTCTGATGGAAGAATGCTAGTCTTGGTATCTTTCATAATAACGTGAAATAACTCAAATATGAACACTTCTACTTTTGCTACAACTGGCATAATATTTCCTTAAATCACGATCCTCTGGATCTGGTTATTGTAAAGGCCTTTTCATCTTCAAATGGCTTTGCAAATTTTATCTGACTGAATTGCCTTAGAAACACAGTAAAATTGAAGGCGAAATATTACCTTTCTTTGTGTCCTCCTAGGTAATACGTTACTCTTTCATCCTCACATTAGATGAATGGCTCTAGTTCTCCATAAAATTTCTTTTCGCATCCTGGTAAGAATCCCCTCTGGAATAGTTTATCATGAGCTGTAACATGAATACGAGAATAAGTTTGTCTTCCTTTCAAATTTTAACCTCAAAGTTTTCGTCTGTCTTGAAGACTTCCCTTGGCAGCCATCGTAAAAGACGCCGTGAGTGCCTCTGTCGAACTATAGGGAAGGGTTTCATTACAACAGGCTTGGCCTAGGAGCCGATGTTAATCTTTCAGCTTCCCTTTAAAACAGGATCTGAATGTGTGCTAGTGTTATGAAGTTAAAGCTGTGTAACACATTATGGATCCTGGTCTATTTTCTATCACCCCGTCGTCTCTTTTCAAGGAATGCAGAGGCTTTACTTGCCTCCAAGACGAGACAGCTCTTAAAAATACTGCCAGCACTCAGCTTGCTTGCTCATTTATCAGGGCAAAGAGGCAGCAAAAGGGACTGTGGCTCCCTTTTCTCCTTTGCATTGCCTGGAGGAATACAGGAACTGTGAGGTGTATAATATAGTGGCTGTAGCACATTGGGAGAGCGTCTGGTGCTGATTCAAGTAGAAGTCACAGGGCTCGATACAGAAATTATCAGCTGAGATTGTTTGGTTTGTGTTTCACAGGAAGCTGGATGGGATTTAATAACAGTCCCTTCTGGTTCTAAAAGTCTACCAAAGTTATAAATGTGCAATCTAGGCCGAGCATCTCTAGTATTTGTGGGCAGCAATTCTGGGTGC